TTTCGTGTTGGAAAAGTGAATATGATTGTGATATCTGTTGAAACAAAGTAAATCAAAAATATTTAAGATACGAGTATATATGTATATATATTATATGTATTATATGTATTATATATATATACACATATAAATATTAGGTTCGTCGATTGATGCGTGCAAACTGCGTGAAATAGAGCAACAAATGTAACGATCGTCAACTGGATATATCACTGTTTGATTTGTGGTATGCAGTTCGAGTCGTTGCGTTTAACGATGATAGATAGGTATATCCAACATAAACATCAACGATGACCGAATATTGGTATATCCAACATAGTAATGTACATAAGGGTACTTCGCATTGGCGTATCATATTCTAAAGCGATCATGTTTATTTTAACACATTTTCAATATTAGTTTGACTTTATAGCATGTTTCTTTTTATTAATGAATCGTCTACGATATCAACGTAATGAATATTGAATGGCTCTTAAATTAATATAAATTATGTATTAACAAAAATAAAACAAAAAAAATAGACACTGAAATAATAAAAAAAGAAAAATGTATATTATAAAATAATTATTTTTCTTCAATTTTTGTTTATTTAATCGAATTAATTCGTTTATTCGTGTCTGACCATTAACGGGTGTATCTACTGCGACAGTAGTCGAAGTATCATATCGATCAGACTAGGTTTTACATTTTCTTATACCAAACACAAAGATATTGTACTTATTGTAAGAATTTAAAAAAACAAAAGTCAAAGTAATAGGATACGCCAACGTTTAGCTTATTCGTGTGGTTACATAAGGATAATATACATGGCTCCGACACAGAGACACACAAACACGCAGATATTTTTCGTATACGACTGATGAACGTTCAACGAGTACTTCAATTTCAATGTTTTATGTGTTTTAAAATATATTTACGATATCGAACATCGGCAACATAGACGATTTTACATGAAAATCGGGGGTAGGGGGTAGGGGGGAGGGGGTTGGGTAAGGGATGGAGAACAATTATAAATACACGCAGCTTTTGTGGTTCCGTATAACACGTACATTTCAAAGGATTTAGCAGGAATCAATGGAAATGAACAATAAACAACATCGGCCGTTGCAAAATATCAAAAAATGGTACACGTTCATCAGAAAGCTATAAAATTTAATATAAATATAATCTATATATGTGTATACATATAAATATATACAGAGTGTCCTGAGCAATGAATGATTTAATAGATGAAAAATTAAATCTATAATGTAAAATACCAATTTGTTCGTTTAAAAAAAGACTTTGTTTTTAATAAAAATAATTTTGGAAATTTGTCGAATTCGAGCGTGCACTTGATTGAGCTTGCAACCTTGGAAACTAAAAACTTTGTTCGATAAGCATAAAAGTAGAATCTATATAAGATATATCATCATATCGACAATGCTTTTAAACATATTAAAAAGCACAAAATGTTTTCTCCGAAATATTCGACAGTAAGCTAGTGAAATTTATTGAACTTAAACTGAAAAAAAAAAAAAAAACAACAACATCCCTTATGAATAAATTGTATTCTACATTTTCGACTTAGTTTTTCATGTAGAATCACCTTCTGCTTGTTTGAACCATTACAGTTAAAGAGGACACCGTGTATAATTTAATATATTTATAATGTAATTAATACAATATATTGATAAAAATGGAGAAACAAAAAAGTAACATTTATTAGATTATTTTCTTTCTTTTTTTTTTTTTTTGTGTGTGTGAAACTGTACAAACTTTAAATGAATGAACACAAAATGAATAATTATCGGGACTTTACTATTCCTGATTAGTGGTGTGTATAGTATGAACATTGAAAAGGGATTAAAGGATTTCTTGATTACGTGTTTACCTAAAGACATTAACTCGTACGTACTTACGTACTCGTTGAGATACGCGAAATGCGAAAGTTTGCACGTTGGTATTTAGGGTGATGATGGTGGTTTCGTTTGAGAAGAGCGCGATAGCTTCCGATTTTTGTTTAAATTTTCATTTTAATCGTGTTTAACGTGTGTAACCTTTCGGAAGAGATTCATCAAGTTTATACGTTCGAATTCGAGGTAAAAGAGAGAGATAGACAAATAGAGAAAGAGAAAGACAGAAATTTGGAGAAAAAAAAAGGAAATATTTAGAAGACAATTTGTAATTAGAGAGAACAAGAGAGAGAGAGACAGAGAAAGAAAGAAAGAAAGAAAGAAAGAAAGAAAGATAGAAAAAGATAGATAGAATCGAAGGTAATTGGCAATATTAGAAAGACAAGGAATCGTATCAGTGTAAATACGACTAATTGGTTATATTGTTAAAAAAAAAACAAAAAAAGAAAAAAAAAAGAAAAGAAAAGATAAAACAAGATATCATGTAGGAAATAACACGAAGCCAAGTCTCCTTTTTTTCAGTCCGTCATAACGTCATTAATCCTATCGATTTTCTTTCAAAAGGGTGCTGCTAATCGTGTGCGATCGAAAATTTTCTACATCGACGACTCGATCGAAAAGAAAACGCGCTCTGGTATTATACTACATACATACATACACACATATATATATATACATATATATATATATATATATCTATTATATACATATATATGTATGTATCTCGTGTCTCGTTCGAGTTACGGGTGAATAATTTAGTGATCCTGTTAGAGTGTAGCGGATGTTGATACCCTCGTGAAAATTTATATGTATGGAATTTAGTCTATAGTATTAATATACTATTATATATAATAGTGTCTGCAAAGATATTGAAAGATATAGAATAAGGCAGATATATAGATATCAGTATCAAAAAAGTGAATGATAAGTATATATGTAAATATAGGTAGATAAAAAGATAGAGTGGTAAAGAGAGAGAAAAACAGAGAGATAAAGAGAGAGAGAGAGAGAGAGAGAGAAAGAGAGAGAGAAAATAAGAGAGAATAGCGACAAAAGCTAAAGAAAGAAATAGAGAGAGAGAGAGAGATAGAGAGATAGAGCGATCGTAAAAAATTGCGAAAGAAGAAACACGACTAAGGATAAACACCAAAAATACGATAACAACAACAACAACAATTACAACAACATCAAATAACAACAGTGAGATAAAAAGTACATGCAAAGCTGCAAATAGGAAAAATATAATCGACCGAAGGATATTCTTTTCTTATATTTTGTCCTCTTTTGCTTCTTTATGCGTGTAATTTCGTTGGGTTTTTTTTTTTTTTCTTTTTCCTTCTTTCTTGATTCAGTCAACGCTCGACGTCGCCGTGTACATTGTTAAGATGTCAGAGAGGGTACCGCCCCCAAAAAAAAGAAAAAATATTTTATGACCGTTTACGTTGCGGGCAATCCCCTTTCTGAATGGGTAAGGGGAAAGAGGACGGCTTGGGTGGAACTTTTAATGCGAATATCATTCGCGTGACTACGAAAATAATCTTGAAAAATGCACTCACGACACAGCAACGACGAGGTACGATGACATCGGTTTGACAAAGAAATTGGATAGTTTGCGTGTTTCGAATCTTTAAGATTACAATCTAACTACGAATATATGAAAGTATTACAAATCATCGTCATTGGTTTTAATCAAATTGATTAGCTTGTACATCTTGGGCTCGTTCAACCACGCAAACAAAGCTTATAGAGAAAAGACAAGGATTGATACAAACGACACATACAAACGCGTTTACACGTATATAAAAATGTATAAGTATAGATTATATATATATATATATATGTACTGATAATTATGACAGTGGTTTAAGTATAAAAAAAAATGATATCCATGATTTATATTATAATATAAATAAAAATCCTAACGAAACACACAAAGACGATTCGTTCGATAATATTTTTGATTTATTCGTATAAGAGTATATCATAGAAATATTAATTATATTATATTCATAAAATATAAATCACACAGATTATTGGATCGTTACATTTACATAATACGAATTATAATATTGCATAAATAAAAATGAATAAAAGAAATAATTTAACGTTATAGAAAATAAATGATAAAATAATATATTCTTTTTCCAATATTTGGATTTGTTCCACCGTGAAAATTATTAAGCACATATATGTATGTACTGTATATACGTATATCAATATATATATATATATAGAAATCAGGAAACGGCAGCATGCCAAAGCGGCAAACGTTGAAACCGCAAAGGCAGGTGCGTTCAAGCTCATGTCAGTACGCAGACCAAAAGATTTGTGATAAGCGCTTACGCGTGCGCGAGTAAACACGTTCGAAGTCGATCGATTGATCGATCGATCGATCGATCGTGCCTGATCGAGCTCGCATGATAGACACATCAAACGGCTGGCATGCCATTATTGAAAAAAAAGCGTATCTCTCATGTGTATACATTACCTTATGGGCCCTCTCGCGAAATCATAAAGTAGTAGTAGTAGTAGGTAGTAGTAGTAGTAGTAGTAGTAGTAATAGTAATAGTAATAGTAGTAATAATAGTAATAGTAGAATAATAGTATAGTAGGGTTAGGGGATTAGTAATAGTAATAAATGGTAGATCATAATGAATATAAATAATTAGGCTATTCGCGACAATATCGATTTCATTTCTTTTTTTTTTCTTTTCCATATAATTTCGCAAATTTCTCTTATTGCTAGCCTTCTTACTTTCTTCTTCTTTTCTTTTTTTATTTTTTACTTCCTTTCTAGTTGTTTTTTTTCTCCTCCTCCTCCTCCTCCTCCTCTTCCTCCTTCTTTTTCTTTTTTTCTTTATTTTCTTTTTTCTTTTTTTTCTTTTTTTTTGATCAAGCAAAGTGGTCATTAACCATTCATATATTTCTATAAGTGTGACTGACATATAACTAAGTGTGAGTACGGTTAAACGTTGATAATACCAACAACGACCAATACGTATGTGTCTATGCGTGTGCCTATATGTGACAGAGAAAGAGAGAGAAAGAGAGAGAGAGAGAGAGAGAGAGAGAGAGAGAGAAATAGAAAGAAAGAAAGAGATAGTAAAATAGAAAAGATAGAAATAGTAGGGGAAAGAGAAATAGAGAAACGGATAGAATGAAACTATGAGAGAGAGTGAGAGAGAGAGAAAGAGTAAGAGAAAGAGAGAGAGAGAGAGAGACAGAAGAGAGAGAGAGAGAGAGAGAGATAGAAAGCCCTTGAGAGATACGTGGGAAAGTATCCTTTTGTAGGTACCTGAAACACCGTCACAATAGCCCAGAGTAACGAGTCAAAGTTTTTCCTATCACACTCGACGTCAGAGCTGCCTTTCATCGTTTCACAGAATTTGCAACCAAACAGGTTCATCCCGAGAATACTACAACACAACGAAACGTGCAATGTACTTCTTTATCCATATATAATATAGAAATACGAAGAGACAGAGTAATTTAAAGAAAAAAGACTGGGAAAAGGGGGGTGTTAGGGTATAAGAAAGTAAAAAAAAAAGAAAATAGAAAAAGAACAATAAAGACGGTAAGAGACAAAAAATAAAAAATTATAAAATAAATACACAAAGAACATAAATTATTAACTAACGTAAAAGAGAGAGAGAGAGAAAGAGAAAGAGAGAGAGAGAATAAAATAAAAAATAAAAGCAAGAAGCCTTAGTTCGATAAACTAACATAACGAATTTACAAAGCATGGCGACGACGTAACGTGCACATATACACACGTATAGGTATATAATAGTATATACTCGAGAACATCGAGTGCACTCGATGCCCACTTCCGAAGTATACTCGTTTTCTACCTTTTAAATATACACACACACACACACATATATATATATATTGTATAAACACTGAACGGAAAATAACCGAGGCTCGTTTAGTTTCTCTACGTAAGTCTTGTTCGTTCGACGAACGAAAAACGTTGTGCTCGTTGTTAGAACGCTAAGAACTACGAGATTTAATCGTTGCTACGCGAAATCCGGAAAAACGTTTTCGAAAATAACGTTTCTCGATTAGATTTCATTGTCGCACATATAGTTTTCCTTCCTCCCTTTAAAAAGAATCTATACGGGGTTCTTTGTGCTTTAAACGTAACCTTTGGAAACCGTTAAAAGTAGTTGTCAACGTTAGGATAGATACAATACATTTGTATTTACTCAATACTACCGAGGTTCCAGGGTATGTATTAAATTTTGATCAATTTGATTGTTGTTATTGTTAGAAACAAATAAACTTACCCCCTCTGGAATTAAGAAATATTTAAAAAAAAAAAAAAAACAAAAAATATACGAGTAATAATACACACTTCGTATCGCAATTTGATGAAATAATAATTAAATAGTTTTATATCGTAATGTATATAAAATTCTGCATTAGTGTTGTGAAATCTCAAAAGAGGATCCTTTTTAATCGGTTATTGTATTTCAATTAGTTAATTGAAAATTAAATTACTAATACTGTTACTTTATTTTTTTTTTGATAATATTACTACCCCCAATAAAAAACCATGGCACCCGGTTAAATCGGTGACTTTTATGTATTAACCTAGAGCCGGTCTAGTATGTACTTATGTGTAAATAGCTACATAAATATCTACTAAAGGTGATATCGTGCAAATCGTATTATATACGTCACAATAGTGTTTAATGTTTCCTCTTTATAGGACAACCCTGACGACAACGACGCTGACGACGCTGACGACGACGACGACGACGACGACGACGACGACGACGACGACGACGACGACGACGACGACGACGACAACTGCGACGACTCTCAACGGGATAACTTTCGCATTAACCGAGTTGGACCGGTTGCCAAGTATCTTTATCCGTGATTTGTGAAATCCCATATAATAGTATTTAATGCTGACGTTACAGAGACATTCGTTATTTCTACTTCATTACCCATAGCTGTGTAACGTGTAATACAATATAAATAATACAACGAATAATTTATATTTCTTATATCGAACGCGTTATTTAATAACAATTCGTCTAACATAAAATATTACGAGAATTATTATCTCGTTTATCTATCTATTATTACGAATATTTACTAAAAAACACTAGTCAAATGTATAATGCACACCGAGAAAATTTCTCATATTGAAAGGATTTACTTACGTTAAAAAAAGAAATGAAATAAAAAGGAACGGAAAAAAAAAAAAAAGACAGAAAAATTATTATAAAAATAAAAAAGAAATATTAATAGAGATAAAATGATAGACAAATTTGACAAATAATAAATATACGCCGTACATTCGCATAAGCTTTTCTAAAATATCGACGAGCGCACACCGAGCGTATGTCGCTTAATAAATAGCCGCTTGTCAGTCAAATCATACGCAGCACTAAAGTAAATGGAAACGAGCGTAGAGTAGGAAAGATCGATTAAATAGATTTAATTTGTAATAAAAAAACATAGAGATATATGTATATTAATGAATATAATAATATTAATAATAATATTAATAACCGTTTATAATATAATATATTATACGGATAAGTAAAATAGCTTTCATACTCGTCGCTAATTATAATAAAAAATATAAAAACAGAGAGAAAGAGAGAAAGAAAATAAAAATACGTCCAAAGATAGAGTATAGAGAGAGAGAAAGAGAGAGAGAGAGAGAGAGAGAGAGAGAGAGAGAGAGAAAACACAAAGCACCATGCACACACGCAACACACACGCGCAGAGATTTACGTAATGATTTAAATAAGCACGTGTCTCGTATATATACGATATGTATATATATATATATAAAATACGATATATACATACGTTATATACATACGTTATATGCATTGGCACGTGTATCATTACACCCTCTCTAACGTTTAACTGTCGTTACCTAAACGTGTCAAACACGTGAGGAATAAATATATATTTGCTACGCTTTCCATCAAATATTTGTCATAAATATATTCGCGTCACGGATGTGTGCGATGATCTTCGCGATGAAATATAGATAAAGATAGATATGTAGATAGAAAAAAAAGAATCGAAAGAAAGAGAAAGAGACAGAGAGAGAGATAGAGAGAGAGAGAGAAAGATAAAAATTAAAAAATAGCGAAAAAGTAAATAATAATTTTTCCAGACGAGAAAGAACGAAGATAAAAGCTGAAATACGAAAATGTAAACGAGAATAAGAGAAAAAGAGAGAGACAGAAAGAGAGAGAGAGAAAGAAATAGAAAAAAGAATGATAGAAAAAGGCAGACAACTTTCGTGAAAAGTTGTAGGCAGTAATCGAAACAGAACAGTTTTGAAATTCAGATGACAATGATGAAAAGGTTCGATTGTTTACGAGAAAATGATTCGAATGCGAAAAAAATGAAAGCCGATTCGTTATCGTTTGCCAGTCTACCGAACGGTTAGACACCGATTTGTTTCTCTTTCCAAAGGTTTCGTAAGCAAGAGCCTTACGAATAGATACATAGATATATATATATAGATAGATAGATAGATAGTTGATAGATAAATAGATAGATAAAAGGAAAAAGAGAGAGAGAAAGAGAGAGAAAGAGAGAGAGAGAGAGAGAAAAAGAGATCGTCGTTGTGCTTGAAATCCGAATTCGGGTAGCTTTGAATCGTTCCAATTATATCTGAGAAAATTCATAATAGATAAATAAATGTTACATTATAGATAATTATATTCAAGATCGATATGAGCCATTTTTGATAGAACATTCTTTACGATTATTTGAATACGACGATTGTTCGAGGACGAAATTAATAATAGACGAGGACGCATGAGCTTTTTTTTTTTCTTTTTTTTTTTTCTCTCCAGGAAGCGCGCCTTCTCGAGCGAAGCCTTTTTCTTGATTTTTGATAAAAGCCGATTATTATTGCGAGCTGTCTCGTAGTTTTTTAGTATTCGTTAGATATGCTTATTTAAAAACTCAAAGTAAAAGATCTTTCCTCCCTTTAGCTTTCTTTACATTTTTCTTCTTCTTTTTATTTTTTATTTTATTTTGTTGTTGTTCTTTATGTTTTTCTCTAAGGATTACGCCATCCTCGAAAATTGAAGGTAACCATATAAATAATCTCTCTCCGTAATACTCGAGATCTGTTTTTCCCCTATCGGACTGAATAATAAAACGAGTCATTTGTTTTCTAGATTTTTCTTTTAATTTTTTTTTTTTTTTTTTATACGAAATGTTGTCACAAACATCATTTCGTATTTTTAAAGAATAAATAATTCGAAGAGAAACGTCTTATTAAAAAATATCTAACCTCAAAGTATCTTCCATAAAACGCGTCAGTTAATAGAAATCAAACTCGTTTTATTATTCGAGCAGAGGTTATTTAAACAAACAAAAAGAATTGATTCAACGAATGATATGGGAAAATGAATCGAAATGAAAGACGCGTAAAATTGATTAACCGAATTTGTCGTAGGATAGAGAACATCTTTCTGTTCTTTTTTTTTTTTTTAAATTTATAATATCTCACACAACACAGATGATATAGTATCTTTTTATATCGTCAAAATTGCGCGTAGAATGGCGTAACGAATTAAAGATATCTAGATTCTCGTTCGAATCGAAATTATTAATTATTACTTTTGTCTAAAGGAGAATAATTAAATTTAATCGACGGCAAGAAAAAAAAAAAAAAAGTAGAAAAAAAATAGAAAAAAAAAAAAAAAACAAGATAGCATCGTTAATGTTAAAAATATCGGAATGATTGATAACTTACCTGAATATAAAGATGAAAAGTACTAAAAGGGAAAAGAATACGGCAACGTTATCCATGGTGCGTAGCATGACGAAAAGTTGACGTCTCAAATTTGGCAGGAAACGGACCAACTTCAAAATCCTCAGCAAACGGAAGGTTCTAAGGACGCTCAGACCGGAACTTCCACCTCGTTCCTCCACGAACGATTGGAATAGCTCAATGATGCTGGATACACGTAGAGAGAGAGAGAGAGAGAGAAACAAAAGAGAGAGAGAAAGAGAGAGACGCGTATTTAAAAGAGTAATTTAAGAGGCCACCATCTTCATTCATTCATTTATTCATTCATTCATTCATTCATTCATTCATTCATTCATTCATTCATTCTCGCGAAAAGTCGAGTGAAGAGAAAAAAAGAAGAAAAAGAAAGAAAGAAAGAAAGGAAAAAAAAAAGAAAAAAAAAACGTATAATATAAGGGAAAATTATTCGAACAAATGGAATAAGAAGAGTTAGAGTGCATCGAGAAAAGTTTGGTTCCTTACGAGAAGAGTTGCGATACGCTTTCCCTTCTCGTAAAGTTTCGATCAAAAAAGAACTTTCTTTTTTTTTTCTTCTTTTTTCTTTTCTTTTTTTTTTTTTTTTTTTTTTTTTTTTTTTTTTTTTTTTTTTTTTGTTCACAACTTTTCGCGGAATGTTTTACTCTTAAGTGTATACGGTTACTACGTCGGGGTGAAAATTTGTTCGGTATAAGGTATAACTATACATTTGCACAAGTTTCTTCTACTTTTTTTCTATCGATTGAAAATAAATCAAATCATCGATCAATTGATCTTATTAGAATTGATCGATGAAATATATGTATATAAAACTTGAATAAAATATAGAAATAACGTTGGGGTATCGCGAACGTTCTAGGTCAGTGGTCAGCGAGCATTTGACCTACAAAAAATGTTTGCACCCCTTTATATATGTATATAAGTTTGTATATATGTATGTGTGTTAGTGTATGCGTATGTAATAGATGCCTCGAGGATAAGGAGCAAAGATTTATATTAAGAAAACTAATGTCCCTTGGGTTCGTTTACGTGTCCTTAGACAGAAAAATAAAAGAAAGATTTGTCTTCGGTGGCGTATGGTTCCCAATATAAAACTAAAAACGAGGTTTTTCGTGTTTTCACGAATTCATCATTATTACCCGATATAAGAAACTTAACAAACTTTATTCAACTTTTTTTTGGATATAGAATTGAAACTTCGACGCAAAGATTAAGAAATAAGACCGAATTTCAAATGGACCAGTATATTAAACTTTTTTTCTTTTTTTATTCCTAGCAAATACATCCAATGTTATTTATCCTGCAAGTAAATATACGTACGCGCGTACGTTTATACAAGGAAAAAGCATTAAAGTTATTATTCATTTGTCTTCTTTTAGCTGCTCGCTGATCAATGACTTCAATTTATTGTTCCTCTCTTATCGAGGTAAATTTCAACCGATATATAATATAACTCGAGAAAAGTCAAATGGATAGTATTAAAAAAAAAAAAAAACAAAAAAAAAAACTAAAAAAAGAAAAAGAAAGTACTTACCTAAGGATCACGACGATGCCGTCGAAAACATTGAAACCGTTGCTGATGTAGCCAAACGGACCCTCAGCTATTACCTTAAGTAGCATCTCAACGGCGAAGATGGCAGAGAAAACGATGTTGCTTATCTCGACGAGCACGGTCAATTGCTCCGGCTATAAATCGTTCGAAAGAAGAGAAGAGACGAAATGAAGAAAATTAAGGAAAAATCTTCAACGAGTTTCAAGTAAAAAGGGAGGGGGAGAAGAATCGTTACGAGCAAGGTAAGTAGGTATATTGTAATACGAAGCTTGAATATCTTAACGATTATCTGAGATAAGATTTGCCGTTTAGAGTGGTAAACGTGGAAGATGCATACAAGGCATCATCCGTTGAAAAGTTGATTTCGAGAATAAAAGGCTAGGAGTATAGTAGGAAAATGCTATTAACGATCTTAAACGATTATTATACCCGTATTTTTCCGACATGATAATCTCTTCTTTATCTTTGTATTAACTCTTTCTGGGAATATATTTTCTAGCAAGACACAGCCATACCGGTTTGGGTTTGATTTCGAAACGTTTGATATAAAAGGAGAACCCCGTTAATTATCATCCGGATTACGTTGTTGTGTTTAATGAAATAACGAGAATTACAAAAAGAAGAAAACAAAAAAGGAAAGAACAAAGGGAATACACGTTGATTGATTAAATCGCAAAACGTTTCCAAGTTCGAGTCAAGTGAATCCAATGTAATAAGTGTGTCGAACTATCGTAAAAGTAAAATCAACGATATCGTACGATTTTTAATAGAAATAAATGGAAACTGATTAACGATTGCTTTCTTCCAATCTCGTAATTAAATTATAAGAAGTGTTTAAGGAATGAAAATAAAAATATAATGAAATAAATTAGTGAAAAATAAATGTAAGAGACGCACCTGATTATGATACTCGATACCCATGCTCAATGTATTTATGAGAATTGCCAAGAGTATACCCTGTTGAAAATACTTGTGCTCGACGAGTTTCTTGATCCAACGTCTTATACAACGTAATCCGCAGATGCAACGATTTCCGATAGTTCTGAAGAACCTACGAGTTCTCGAGGATTTTCGCCATCTTTCACCGTTATCCGGCCACTGATCGAGACCGCTTTGGGCGTCGCAGCAACAAGAACAATTTTCCAAATCGGAAGACAACCACTGTGAACGATCCTCCAAAATAATATGTCGTTCGGTGATACCTGTTTCAATTACGATTGATTTATCCTCAAACTTATCAATTAGGATCCTTAACGTATCCTAAATCTCGATTGTTCAAAATAATTTTGAATATACTTATTCTTTAATATCTTACTGATCAAAATATTTGTCTCTTACCTTTAGTAAGTGAATTTAAAAAAGAATCTAAAGCCAATTGACCGGTTGGCAAGGCAGCGCTGAGTGCTCCACTGAGTGCCAGTAATTCTTGACACGTCATTGCTTCCTTCGTACCCAACTCAACTTGCATCTGCTGTGACAAACGTAAATGGAAAAACTTGTCATACGATATATTCCTGTGTTAATTGAATTAAAATTATTTTAACGTAACTGGAATCCAATAATAATAATAATAATATTAATAATAATATTAAGCACGACTGAGAGAGATGGATCTAAAACTACATGATAATTTAATCAAAATAAAACTATAGACAAGAACAAAAATAATACACTTTTTTACAATAATACGATAGGTATAATTGAAGAAGAAGAAGAAAAAATAGAGAAAAAAAAAAAGAGAAGAAGCAATCCAAATTCTAAAATAGAATATTTGATAAATCTATGTATGTACTTGTGTGCAAATAGAAAATAAATAGAGAATACCTGTGTATGGTCGGACAGCGGGCTAGACCAAACATTGCCGTCACCGGTTTGCGTCATTTTTTCACTCGAACAAACGTTACGCTCAGTAGGAGCGACCGTGGGACCAGATTGCATCGTGTTCCCAACGCTATTGCTACCGTGTAGCAAAACCACGTCGCTGAACATAACGCTGCTCCTTCGTCGGTAGTGAGTACACGGTGGGCTCAGCAACGCGTTATTCGTCTAATTCGCGTGAGAAATAGACCAAATGAATCCTTTTCAATCCTTCTCCTTACTTCTTACTCCCCCATTCCTCCCCCATTCCTCCCCCATTCCACCCCCCCAGTTCATTCTTTTCACCAAAAGTTTAAGTACTCGTTTTAAATAATTCATAGTAAATCTCTCTGCTTAATCCTTTACGCCGTCTCCAAATTTTAAATCAATAAACGACATTAAATATGTAAAGAGAAAACTCGTCAAGTCTCTCTCTCTCACTCCCTTTCATTCTTTCACTCTCTATCTCTTTCTCTTTTTCGACAAAAGTTAGGAAGAAACGTGTCGAGCTTATTCAAATATTCTAATTACGTTTCAAGGCTAACAAACTAGAATCATGGAAACGTCTTTTATTCCCTTTTCAGTCCTAGCTGCTTGAATTTTATTAGGAAAAACGTATACGACAATGATTAATAATAATTGTTTATTATAGGCGTGTTATCTTCGAATAAATTTCGGATAATAAAAAGCATTGGATTCCACATTAAAAAAAAAAGGAAAAAGTAGCGCAGCAATTCTAATTAAAATTCGTTAAAACATAAATATAATATAACAATATTCACGTTCGAGAGCTACGTTAATCTACGTGATTTAAAGAAAGAAAAAAAAAATAGAAAAAAAAAGAAAGACAAAACTAAAAAAAGAAAAAATATATATCCAAATAAAAAGATATAAATATATCGAGGCGATGGGGGAGAAAAGAAAATGGTTTAAAGGTAAAATAGTGTAGGAATATACAAATGGGGGTACTCACGTCGGTAGCATTTGAAATGATATTGTCGCTGCCGTTACAGGAAACTGAAGCGGCACGATATAATCCCGGCCGATTGTACGAATTGCTTGACATTTCAGCCTCGGAAACTTCAGGACTCGCTCGTGGTGCAATACCCATGTTTCCATTACCAGCCCCATTGCTGGAAACGCCAGTGGTAATTCCAGGCTGCGATGCTGGTCCATTCGTAGCAAACTCTCCGTTAGATCCACTACCACAGATACCGGATGATTGCTGTTGCTGTTGTTGCTGTTGATGCTGTTGCTGTTCCGCATACTCTAACGCTGCCAACAGTCTAGGGCATCTTCCGTGATGAATTTTTTTGTCTGAAAGTTGTAAGAGAACAAACGAGGCCGTTCAGCGTTGATAAAAGATAAAAAGAACAGAATAAGAGAGAAAATATCACGATAAAAACTATCAAAGATCACTGATAAATTTCACTCGATGATATTATTATTCCAAATGACGATAAAATGAAAAAGAAAAAAAAGAAAAGAAATAGAAAGAAACCAAAGGTAGATAAAAAGGAAGGCTTTGATTAAACGAATTCCTTGTTAGCCGAATAAAAGAGCGTAAGCCGGCCTAATTAAAGCATCCTTGAAAAGTAGCTAGCTAGGTGCATTAAAGCTACTGCTTAAAACGCTTAATAATTGTAACGACGTACGATCCCCTGGCCGGCTTTATTATTCGAAACATTTACACGAGCCCTAAACCAGAGAATCGACCTTTTATCCAAATTCTACCGACCTCCACCCCCCTCCCCTCCCCTTCCCTCTCCATCACCTACCCCACCTCATTCCTACCATTTCCAATTCAATATAAATTCAAATAAGCGAATATTTCGAAACTGTGTATAATCCGATTATTCCCCCACCGCATTTATTCCTGCCTTTTTCTCTTTCTGTGTCTAATCAAAACGACGTTTTATTATTTTCTTTATCTTTAACCCAACTAAATGCGGATTAATTGAAAACATTGCGATTATGATCAGATATTCAATTTTTTGTTCTGTTTTTCCCTATACAAGGTAATGGATAAAACGCATATATATTATATATGTATATATAATATTCTCTAATGAAAGATAGATAGATAGAGATAGAGATAGAGAGAGAAAGACAATAGGGTAAACGATCGATAAGAAACACTCACCACCGGGTGCTGCTCTGTTTGAGCCTGCTCCACTGGGAGCCGACCGGAACGGCTGACCTTGTTGTTGTTCCTTAAGCAAATTTTGCTCGCGTTTCTGCTGCCTTCTGTATTTCCATAATCTGTACCTCTTCATCAGTCTTCTTTTACCTCTTCTCCAAAGATGTGCAATATATCTGATATCGCGAGAAAATTTAATATTTTCCTTTTTTCCTTCTTGTTACGTATTTTCCCTTTTTTATTTTCTATATATATATTCTTTTTGTTTTCTCTTTCCCCTTTTTCTTTTCTCATTCGATTCCCACGAGATCGAGACGTAATCAACGTGAACGAACATTAAATGAAGATTTCCATTACGATACGTGGACATTAGCACAAATTCGAGCCATCATTTTGGCCACACAAAGTAAAGCGCGAGAAATGATTTTCTACGTTTACGAAGTTAATCGATCGAAATGAGATCGAATAATAATGATATATCTACACGATGAATTATCTAATACGGAAAAAAAATATTCCTATTGGAAGAATGAAATCAAATTGATTTTTATTATCTTTAACGCGAATCCTATATTCGCGGGAGAAAAAAAAATATAAAAGTTAGTTGGAAACGATGTAATATCAAAGTAATCGTATATGTTTGAATGAAGTTAAAATAATGATTATTACACGGGTGACCTCTTTTATACGAAACTCGTTTCATTCTTTTCTTCCAAATGTTTGAAACGTTTGGTAGGAAATAAAAAAGGAATAAGGGGAGAGGTTTAGACCTTCTTGTGTGTGTGTGTGTGTGTATGTTGACGTAAAACGCTTACTTGACAATTTCGGCGTAACAGGTAGTTGGTTCGGATGTATTCGTAGACGAAGCCAGAGTCGAAGTCGAATGAAATCGAGCGCGTTCTAATCTCATTCTTTCCATCTCCCGTTTTTTCGTCTCGGAAAATTGCGTTGCTATCACGACCAGGCAAAGATTGATCATAAAAAAGGAGCCGATCTAAAGGAATCACAATATATAAAGTGATTTTAAATAACTAAATCGAATATCGTTAAATCAATCCATAATATAAATAAATAAATAAATAAATAATAATAATATTGTTGTCTGTATATTCAATGAATAAAATTTCATTCTCCGTTCATCTAATAAGAAATTTTAATTAACCCTTTGCGCTATATATAAATACATATTTGTCTAATTGATTTTCTCTACCAACTTTTATCGAATTTATATTTATTTCAGTGTCTCACATATCATAATTCAAATAATTATAATTTTATTATTATTTAATATTTTTTTCCTAATATAATACATAATTTTTAATTAAACGTAACAGTGTTAAGAATTCAAGTTTATATGCATCTTCTCTGAAGGAAACTGTTTGATATTGATTTGTTTCGCTCTAGAAGTTTTAAGGAAAAGTAGTTTCGTCGAGTCAGAGATAACTTCATAGTGCAAAGGATTAAACTATCTTATTCATTCATTCTTTTCATTCGCTCACGTACTAATAACAATTCATCCAAACGTCTCTTATGCAATAAATAAATAAATAAACGAATAAAAATACAAACTATCTCTAAAAGTGTAATATAATAAATGAAAAAAAAACAAATAAATAAAATGAAAAAAGTAACATCAAAGGAATATATACTTACGACGATCAAAAGGACAAAATATATCCAATCCCAAAAAGAATGAGCATCCTGGACGTAGTACATAATATCCGTCCATCCTTCCAGACTGATCACCTGCGAGAGGCTCTGTTTGTTATCATCTACAAACCTGTCTATCCTTTCTTCTCGCAATGATTGTTATCGAAGGATTCACGATTAAATAATCTCTTTGAGGTATTATATTTTCTATGTCATGCTATTTTGTTATTGTTGTTTCTTTTTTTCTTTTTTTATCCGATATTCGTATCGTTATACGATTATCGTTGTTACTAATTGTAAGAATAACGATAGACATTATGAACGGTAGAATAATCATAATAATAATAATCATAATAATAATAATAATAATAATAATAATAATAATGCATCGACATTTACGAGTTAATCCCAGTACGATATTCATTAGATTAAAATGAATGATGCCACTCACGAGAAATATGGCCACCCAGGCCAAGCCAATATTATCGAACGAAATAGTCCCTTGGAAAGGATTATTGCCCTGACCCTTGCACTCGGTATAATAGTAATTCCAGTTAACGCAGGTCTCGTTGCTGATAATCGTCGCATTGTTGTTCGGTAATGCTGTATTATTGCAGACCAGATTTCCTGAAAATTAATACTAGAGTTCAAACGATGCGTGAACGACGACAGATCGTGCATCGATCTACATATTTCTGTAGAACGACGACCAGGAGGAATATAAATTGCTTTCCAAGTGGCGATCGCGAGATTGCCCATTTGAAATAGGGGTAGGGGGGGGGGTTGGAAAAGAAGGGAGCAAAAAAAAAGAAAAACCTTCCGTCCCAATTTCCGAGGGGAACAAAATTTCATTCAGTTTTGGGATATACGATTCGCGGAATAAATTTTGGTTTTGTATCTCGTATGCGTTACGTACCAACGGTTAAACGATTTTAATGACGATCGGAGAAAAGGATTATTAAAATTCGTTAAAACAAAATTATTGGAATTTCGATTGCGTGATTGTGCATTAACACGGTACTGATTGTAACAGATAGTAGGAGAAAGAAAGGGTAAAAAAAAAAAGTTTGGTGAAATGTGTCGAGGAAAATACTTGCCGAACTTTAGTGGCGGCAAGTTGCTGCAAGAGTGCATACCGCTGTCGTCGGGACGGGAACAAATGTAGTCCTGACCCTGATACTCGAAGTACTTCTCCAGGTCGCTGGAAAATCAAGGAGGATCGGAATTAAATCGATCGACTTGCACCCACCAACCACCACGCTTTCTCGCTCATACAAAGTACGTACGTACAATAGGTGTACATAGGTGTCCCTTCAAATCTAAAGGCTTGCGTGTATATACGTATGCTTTATGCACGGACTAATGCACGGATGCACTTTCGTTACATGCTTCGTTTATGCGTCACAATTACACCCTATCATCTATGCGTATCGTTGTGTAAGGCCGCCCGATAGATATACACGTATTGTTTCTTATATACCTACATATATGCATACATACATACATATACATCAGAACAAACATATTATATTCTCTTATGCATGTCCTACTACTACTGCTGCTGCTGCTGCTGCTGCTTTTGTTGCTTTCTTAGTATGCATGTATATATGTATGTATTCACTTATCTAAGTAGAAGATTTTTATATACATATACATATACATATATAACATACAGACGATTACGTATACGTATATGTACGCGCGCACATACTCACTCACGTTTAATGTACATACCTGTATACAAAGAGACACATGAACGAGTTAGTAGATAAAAGTTAAAGCCAAATGCATGTGTCGACACGAGACAGCGTGCACGCGAACGACTAGGTGACGACGTTGAACGGAAATATATGCGAGACGCGATATAAAATAAACTTAATTTAATAATTTATAACGAAGACAAAAAGAAGGAAACTAAAAAGTAGCATTTAAAGGATTTCGAGCGTTATCGCGAAAGTATAAGAATTATTTTTATCGCATTATTACTACAATTCGTATTACATTTTTAAAAGTAAAATACTAAATAACTGTGCCTATCTACATTTATTTCCCTTTTACTCTATCTATCTTTTTCTTCCTCTCTTTCTTATAAATGCATAAATGTATTATATGTAAACGATGTTTCCGCGTAAAATCAATTTCGAAATAGAATCAGATATTGGATATTTTTCCAAAAATTGTAAAATGTATGAGAAAGAGAGAGAGAGAGAGAGAGAGAGATACGCAGAGTTTTTTAATCTAATATAAAATTTCCGAACTTGCATTATGCATCGTGTGCCAACTAACCCATTTTATTAGTGCTGCGTGTTAAGTCGATAATCTCTTAGGGTGGAACGATATCGTGTGTCATTTTTATTTAACGTCGAGTAGGTCGATTAATCATAATCGTTTTAACCTTTTCTATGCTCTATCTCTTTCTTACGTACCATCTTTATCTTTAATAATAAAATGTTAAATAATACTCAAATAGCACGAACGCAATCTACTAAAAATTGTATACTTTATCGAAGAACATTTCAATATTGTTACAAAATTCAAAAAAAGTATTCGATATATTCGCGTCGTAATTTAGATTTGTATTAAAAAAAAAAAAAAAAAAAACCATAGAGAAAGAGAGAGAAAAAAAATACTTAATAACTAAAAAGCAGTTATATCTAAGAGACAAGAAGTTACACGTGTTCATTAAAACTTTCTGCTAGTTGAAAACTTTAAAATTATACATGTAAACGCGTGACGCTAGTCGTTTCGTAAAAATTCAACACGTTATAAAGCTAATTCTACTGTAAATTTACTTTCATAGAATAAATGTGGTTGTAAATTTCGATAACAATTAAGCAAACATTTTGATATTACTTTTTTTTTTTTTTTTTTTTTTTCAATATATTTTAATACAATTAATTTATTAATTTATCACATTTACGAAAGAAAATGAAATTTTGTAAAACGTAATGTAAAATAACGACGAAAACAAACGTATTTCCTCGTAAACACGTATTTGAATTTCAATTTAACAGAAACTCGTATTAATAATTAGTGAACCCAACAAAATACCGATGCGAGAAAATACGTTTTAACGTGTGGAAGCACCCAAAAGAGCAAGCCGAAACTTGTAAACTAATTGTAAAGCAAACGTACTATATTAACAACTGGCCAGGGTGATTCGAGCGTAACTCATTTGATATGAAGAATTCCTAATAGATTATTTATTTATGAAATACGTAAATCAAATCAATTATTTATAACGATTATATCCTAATTGTGTAAAAATAATTAAATAAATAATCATTACAATGAAAAATATGTCGAAGATATTTCAATAAAAATATTCAATACGCGTTAAATGGACCGAATGAATATTTCCAATCGAGAAAGATTGAAAGTCATTTAAAAAGAAAATGAACTTTCCACGTGAATCCTCATAAAGTATGCAAATGCTATTAACCGGAATCTTGAGAATTCCCATTGTAATTTGTAGATCGTGCGATCGTCGAAGTGCGCTGAATTCCACGCTTTAAATAGTTTCTCATCACCATCGTGATAATGCGAAGTAATAGAGTATAAACTTATCGTGCCGCTATCGTGGTCTAATAACGTCTAAATTCATTCAATAATAATCGCATGCAATAGACTGGTGATTATATTATACATATCCTTTTTAACATACGCGTATACACACACACACACACACACATAGACAATCGCATATATGATAAGTAATATACTATATATTATATTATATATAAGTATGTACCTATATATCTAACCATCCTGTTAATCCGTTTTATCATTTTATCTTTTTTACAGGCATCTTATTCCTCGTTTATAAAAAATTCAGCAGGGTATCTTTGGTCCGATCATTTATCAACCCCCACGTACTCTAATAACCGATACTTTTTTTTTTTATCCACCCTTCTTGTAGAAGTAAATAACTAAAAAAGGTCCTTCAAGGATAAGATAATATATTTGCGTCCATTTTACTGTGTCGCGATCACGGGGATTTGGTTAATGGAATTATTTAAAAAAAAAAAAATAAAGAAAAAAAGGAAAGACAGAGACAGACTGGCAGACAGACAAACAGACGAAAAAAGAAAAAAGAAAATAGAAAGAAGAAGTACGAAAGGAATTGGAGCGATCTCAAAGGCAGACTTGTTAAGAATAATTGGAGTGCGAAAGGATTCGAATTCAAAGTTACGTGTCTGCCATTCCGCGAAAGCCCTTCAAGTTAAAGAGAGCAAAAGGGGTATCCTCCAACGACACGCGACTTAACCACACAGCATCGCATTCTACTTTGGTGATAGCGCGTGTTTGCTCTTGGATTTGATTATCTTGGCTGGCACGTTGCGCAACCCAGCAGAGACGACGTATATAAACGTATCTAACAAACATCCGTAGCATGCAAGCAAACGTTGAAGAAAGAAAAAGAATAGCTAGCTAGCTAGTTTCGAATTTCTTTAGTTACCCCATTTTTTTACCCCTCGACAATTTCGTAAAAAAGGAAAAAAACGAGAGATGATTTTGTTTCGATCGAACTTTCGATTTTCGACCGATAAAACGTTCGAAAATAACCGTTGAAAATAACGGTATAAGCATCGATAAATTCACCTTGGTTAGTTGTAATAGCAAAGGTTATAACAAACGCCCCGTTTCCCCCCACCCAATACGAACTATACAACTATCGATGAGTTTTCATTAACGTTCGTTCTCTCTAAGGTTTAGAAATTTCGCGCTCCGATTCTATACTCGCTATTATCGGACAATGGAAGGATATAAACGTCGATCCAATCCTATCCTATCCTTTCCTTTCCTTTCCTTTCAAATTTCAAGATGGTTTGGCATTTGAAACAACAAAAACTGACATTGAAGATAACGTTTTAAATTTAATTCTTATTGATCTTCCTTATAACTATTAGAAAACCCACCACAAAAGATACGAGCTTTTAAATGGAGTATTATTTTTCCTGACGTTTCATTTTGAATATTTCTTTATTTCGTTTCGACTGACTTCCCGTGATCGCGAATCCGGTTAATACGTGTTTCGTTATTTTTAGTTAGCTATTATAAGACTTTACTACTCGCGATAATTTGTTGGAAGGAAGTTACTATATAACGTATAAGTAAGTTTAATATCATAGTTATCATCTACGTGTATAGACATGTGTGCTTTTTGTACCGAGAATGATATATAAAGGTCGATAGAAATAATAGTCTTTGGGATTTTTCATCGCCCACCATCTAGATAAATATCATTACGTTCCTTAGTTTCTTACGTTCCCTACGTTAATTAGTTTGTCTCGTCAAATCAATCAACCGATCACCCGTTCAAGAAAGAATTACCTTTTTAAGATGACACGTGTCGTCTCTCTCTCTCTCTCTCTTTCTTTCTCTCTCGTTAAATCGTTATTCCACTATCGCCTGTTGCTTTCAAAGTTTCTAGTCACTCTACATAGTATAAAGTAGTGATGTTAGCTACGAGTAGTTAAATATCATCGTGCTAGTTTACCCTGCAAAACCGAACAGTATCGTCTTAAGAAACCACAAGACTTTCCTACTACCCCGTTCACTTTAAACCCCTGTCACTAAAACTTACCATTGACTTTAAACGATTTTCGATATTTTACGAAACTCTTACTTAGTCGAAATTAGATCTACTAATTATTTCAATTATATAATATCTTCATTCGTGCTGTTAATTATAAAAATATAATGAACTAATAATGAATTCAAACAAAAACAAACAAAAAAATGAGATAAATTAATTTTATGATTTATTTTACATTCGTCTCCATTATTCTTTCTCTTTTACGTTTATGAATAAATTTTTTCTACAAAACAATCCTTTTAGAAAAATTTTCAGCAAGCTCACATTATCACAAAAAAGAGATCGCGATTTATTTTATATCAAAATTATTTATAATATCATAAATTCAATTTTTGTATAATTTTTTGATTTATAATTAAACCATTATATCATAATTACTCTCTTTCTCTCTTTTTTCCTCATACTAATTAAAAATAATATCTATATCTTGGATAATTATAACAAAAAAATCGTAGCCCGACAAAAAAAAAATATATTTTTTCTCCTTTAAATGTCATCGCGGGGGGGGGGGGGGAAATATCAGAAATTTGCACGATATAATTTTCAGTCCTCGTTTTTTCGTTCCTTTGTCGAATCTCGTGAGCCCTTATACAGTCCATATTTTCATCCTCGTTCCGTCATCTCGTTAAACCCTTAATGACCTTTGACGACGATCGACTCTCATGGATAAGAGATCAGAAAAAAGCGACTTTCACGTCGAAATTAATCCGCCGTTATGAGCGGAACCCCGAATCGTTCGAACGTGACTGCGCGTATTATTACAAGACAAAGAAATAGAGAGAGCGAGAGAGAGAGAGAAAGAGAGAGAGAGGGAGAGAGAGAAAAAAAGCATCAAATTTAACGAGAGAATATCGTCCGGGTGATCGTTCGATATAATCAACCTGACGAAGAACTAAAGTTAACGACCCGTCCTTTTAATTATTCTAATATTTTTAATATACGCTCATATACACGAGAAAATAAAAATGAAATATCTAGTCTAGACGATTTTACGATAAAATATTAGAAAATCATTCGACGATCGATATGAAGTAGTTAGAAATAGAAAAAAAAATTTCTCCTCTCCCAAGATTATCCGAACGTAATACAGAACACGCATAGATAGATGAAAGAAGATAAATGTTACATCAATTAGATTGAGATAAAGGGGATGCAAATAGAAACAGACATAATGTATTCAGTCATAGTAATATATATGTATGTATGTATGTGAAAATAGATCAATCGGAGATACGTATAAAGAAAATTAGTGACAAGAGGTGACACACACACACACACACACACACGCACGTACACAGCGTACAATTATATATGTTTATATTTATAATAAAATCTATATCACACGCATACAAAATAAATTCAGCGATATAGTACAAGACAACGTTGTACGTTCACGTTTAACTGAAATATCTTTCTTATTATATGTCGCTGATAGAAAGAATTAATTTATATATATTATGTTCTGAGTAACGAACAATTAAATCGTCTCACAAAATTATTTACTTTTTCTTTAGTCATTTTATAAAAACAATATTGTACATTTTATATTATTTTACCGAATAATGTGCGATACAGAAAAAGTTAAGAAAACGGAATGATTAGTAAATTATTATATATTTGGTAAAATAACATTAAAAAATATATTATTGTTAGTGTAAAATTTACTTAGAAAAATGTCCCAAAAAACTTTCGAGACAATCCAATAAGTTTTATTTCTTTTCGAATGTTCCGAAAAATTAAGAAAAATATTTCAAGAAAAATATATATACTATATATATATATATATAGATAGATAGATAGATAGATATGTAGATATAGATATAGAAATCGAGAGAAAATAAGTAGAACACATCGATTTCGTGCATCGAAAAAATAAAAATAAAGAAAAAAATAACCCCTTCCCGTATGAGACGGACCCGTCTTGCAGACTTTGCGATCGAAAAGAGAGAATTGAAAGAGACGATCCAGATTCTTTTTTCTCTTTTTTTCTTCTTTTCTTTCTTTCTTTTTCCTTTTTCTTTTTTTCCGAATGGACAAGAACGACGACGACGACACGATCGATTCACGAACAAATCCGCTCAGAATCTCATCCTTTCTTCCAACGAACGTCAGAGATCGTAATCCGCGTGCCATGTTATTACGTCGAACCGCACACGGAGACCATAAAGAACCGATACTCGTCTCGTCCTATAGAAAACTCGACCATTTATGAAACAACTATAGTATGTTAGGTCAAGGAACAATTTTTTCACATATACAAAAAAACTATTTTTATTTTAACCAGTTAACCGACTGATGATTGACTGACTGACTGACTGACACGTTAATTCAAAATTATTTTATTTCTATACAGCTGACTCTGTATACTCGTCGTGTAAAATAAAATATTACCATTTATTAGAAACATATATATACTCCAAATTTCAATGATAAATAATAAAAATGTCATTTTATGATACGTTTCCTTTATATTATTCAATAAAATCCATTATGTATTTACGTCTTTAATATTTCTCATTCGTAAAATTTATTATTTTTAAACATGTTTTAAATCTTTGATAATGATAATCTTTTCAATAATCAATTATTCATTTTTGATAGAATAAAAATGTAATCCTTCCTCGTTTTTCTTGACTTTTTTCGTCTAATAGGAACATTTTCCCTTTAGGTTTGACATTTATACCCGTTCTTGCTTGATGTAAATTACGCATCCCGTAAGAAATTTGTATTAAAACCTATTTCTGCGATGGTTAACTGGTTAAACGAATAATATCCGCGTCCGAGATCAATGGCGACAAAAATTAGTCGTCCAATTTATCCACGCTTATTTGTTCATTTCAACGACAACAAGTTTTACGAAAATCGTCAAATAATTTTCAAACCTAACGCGTTAAAATAAAATCATTCGACTCTCCGCAAATGACTTTTTATTTATCCCGTCGTAAATGAAAAAAAAAAAAAAAAAAGAAGAAGAAAGAAAGAAAAAAGAGGGGAAAAAAACCGCAAAAGTAGAAAACGAGATAGCGTTGAAAATAAAATGGAGAAAATATTGATCGGTTGGTTTGAAGATAAGCGTAAAGTCGTCATTCGGTCTGGACATATGTACATTTCTAGACGTGTGTGGACGTCTCGATGGCATATCCATTCGCTCGACGTTTCGAAAAATTCGAAAATTCGAATGTTTTTGAGCAAACGACGTACGAACAGGAATGTACCCATTGTCCGTCAGGCAGCATGCTTTATTAAAACACACTACAATCACAGCCGCAAAACGGTCTTGCGAAGAAACAGAGAGGTGTGTATAATATATATATTTCTGTGTATAAATATACATATATATAAAATGAGTCACAGGAGTATTCGTATCACATACTGTCAATTTAAAACAATCAATATTTTCTAGTAATACGATATTTCCAAATTCTTATTTAACCCAAAAACATATTTTAAGATTGTTATACTTTCAAATCGATGTCAATTTTATTGCAACAAGATATTTAATTTTTGCAGAATTATAATTTTTTCTTAAATAATTACAAATTAATCTCGCAATAAAATGTTCTTTTGCAATCACAAATTAATATATCAATTTGAAAAATTAATAATCCTAAAATAAATTTGTCCATATAAGAATAAGAAAAGTTTGTATTACAAGTGATATATCAATTATGTTAAATTTGCAATGGGAGTGGTTACGAATATTTCTGCGACATATACATATACATATACATATCATAGATATATATATATATATATACATATACACTTTATCTATTTATGTAAGTATGTATGTATATATAATTGTTTCTATCAAACGATTATGTACATATGGATGCACGTGTATATATATATATATATTCGATGATATATGTATAGTATATAATATAATTGACATAAGTTTATATATATATTTATATGTGTGTATGTGTGTATGCATGTGTGTATGTGTTTGTATGTATGTACAGCACATTGTTCTCTACTAGAGCTTACTAAATGCGTGATCGAACCGAGTACTCGTCCGAGAGTAACCTGCAACAGCGAAACAACAGCCTGTCACTGCTCCCCAAGTGTTACATACTTATTTCTACGTTTTATTATTTTTTTTTTTTTTTAACTTTCTAGTTACGATAGAAGGAAAATGAAAAATAGTAAAGAGGGTTGGTCGGGTTGAAAGGTGCCGAGAACAAAATAGAAAAGACGTATCGTATTGTATTATAACACGATAACATTTGAAATATATTTTACTCTCTCGTATAATTAGAGAAGAATAAAAACAAAAAAATATATATAAATATAATAATAATATTAATAATTATTATAAGATTATTATTATTATTATTATTATTATTATTTCGAGTCGTAATTTTTTTTGTATCACTTGGTCGATATCGATGAGTTTTTGTGCGCGCGCAAAGAATACGAAACAGGTATATGCATATACGTTTGCATACACACGCTTACTTGCTTGAATATTGCACGACCTTGGATTTAATGAACTCCGTGTGCATTTCTTTTTTTTTTTTTTTGATACTTCCTTTTTTTTTTTTTGGTATATTTTTATTTTTTATATCCTTCTTCTATATAACCTCCCGTGGCTCTCCCCATTGAGTGTAGCTTTCCAGACACCGCTTAGTACTCGTTAGAATAAAAACTATGAAAATATGTAGATGGGTTTATATCACCCTTGCTGTTAACTTTGTTAATTTAACACGCGACATTATCTTTTTCGCGGGCATGGATATTAACGAGTTTGCTCTTGCGTAGCAATTTTCGTTTCCACTATACGCTATCCCAACCATCATAGTAAATAAATTTACCCGAAACGAGAGAGACAGTAAGAAGAAGATATGTTTTCGTACGTGTGCAAATACACTAACCGTAAAAAGTTTGAATTTTTATCATAAATTTGTTTCTTTAAAAAATATGGAACGTTAACGAGTTAAATTGTGTGTTTTTAAGAAATATTAATATTTTTTGTAGATCCATAATATTCCTTTTATAAGTTACACATCCCCTAATATAAAGCATCTTTGGTAACTTGTAAAAAATACATGGGAAAAATATTCAATTAAAAACACTCGACAAAATGATTTCCATGGTGCATAAAATTTGCCAGACTATCGTTCAAAATAAATATGTTTGTTGTTATCATAAAAGTGCAATTTGTTGCAAAAAGAAATAACTCCTTTAAGTTTTTTATTTTTGACAAAATAATAAATTCACCTCGGTTATCCTAAAGACATTTATACGTTTGTTATAAATATCCTGTTTCTCATAAAATTTACGTTGACAATTAACTAAACTTTCGGGAGGTAGTGTACACACATGTAACAACATATGTAGGATATCTTTCGGTGTTGGATGACGTGGAAAAACCCGACACGAGACGAATCGTGTTCGTACGAAGAAACTTTCAAGATGGATACTCGTAGGAAACAAAAAATGGACGCTGAGAGTATCTTAAAGAGAGAGAGAGAGAGAGAGAGAGAGAGAGAGAGAGAGAGAGAGATAGATAGACACTGATAGCGAAAGTCTCGACAACTTTTTTCCTTCGTGTACTTTAACCCGCTTTAAATGTACTAAATTGAAAGTCCTATTAATTTATTACATCTTAGGAAAGAAGAAAGGAAGGGTGGTGGAAGGAGGGTTCGAGGGTTGAACCGCAAACGCGTACGCTCAGAAAATATTCTCTTCTTGATGGAACTTGAGAATTTTCTATTATTTTTATTATCGTATAATTTATTCGGTATAAAAATTACTGACTGATACACATTTTCAAGAGAAGTCATTTTCTTAATGGATTTTATTTATGAAAAGTTGGACAATTTTTAAAAAGTCGCTTTACGGGGTTCATAGGACATCCATATTTTATTTTTTGTATTTAACAATCCTCCGTCTCTTAAAGAGAAAGGAACATTGAACGAAATTTTGTAAATAAATCGTAATATTTGTAAAGATTATTAGACTTCATCAGTCGTTACCTTCTCTCTCTCTCTCTGTTTTTCTCTCTCGGCACGTTTCCGAAAATTGTATTCAGTTTGTTCATTAAAGATTATCGTGTCTTAATTTATGTATTTATGTACCTCGGTAATGATCACAAACTGGCAAGCATCAATTGCGAAGCGTCAAAGAAGAAGCATTTTAGTTTATTGCAAAAGGAGAGTTCGAATTACGAGTCAGTAAAATCTTATAGGCGAGGCAAAAGAAAATATTTCATCCAATAAAATGATGTGAATCGTTTTGAATGTATTGAAAACGTTGATAAAACGTAATAGTAGTAGTAGTAGTAGTAGTAGAAGTAGTAGTAGTAGTAATAGTATTAGTAGTATTATTATGGTAATTGTAGTATTTTTTCGCGGCTTTAAGTATATACGCGTAATTTCTACGCGTGCATGCTTTTTTAAATATTATATATATGTGTATAAGTAAATATATAATAGAAGTATGTATAAAGGCGGGTATGAACGTATATAATAGTATACAGATTCTCGAATGCATGCAAATGAATTAAAAGAAGTGACTGCGAGTGTAGAATAAAAGATGTATTATTAATTTGTACGTGGAATAATTATTATTGTTCGATTGGTTCGGGAACAAATTCGTTTCGTGCTAGAGAGTAATTGTCTTATATTGTCTTTACTTCGTATTTAACAAAATAAAAAAAAAAGAACAAAAATATGCGCGCACACACCTACTTGCAATAAATATGTTGTTGAAGAGTAGCGTCTGTGGAAATTATAAATTAAATAGCGTTAAAGGGGGTCTGGGGTGAGGTGATAGAGCAACGTTAAATCAAAGGTTTTTGATTAGGAATTGAATGGAAGAAAAATCAAATTAAAAAAAAAAGAAAAAATGACCAACGATATCGGAAGTAAATCTCGACGTAAAATAAAAACCAAATTAATCTCTAACTAAAATTCAAAGATATGAATTTAATGTATGCAATCACGAATCGCGATTGTTTTCAATAAAAACAAAAATCCAAATGAATTAAAAAAAAAAAACAAATCTCATACGCAAAGATATTATTTACAAATTCAAATCTATAGATTTTGGAATATACAAAAATCTAACAAATTTAATATTATAATCGCGAGAGAGAAAAAAAACGCGTTAATGCTTCGTTAAAATTAAAACTAAATCGTTAGATGAACTTTAATTCGTAGATAAAATCATTGAAAGAAATATCGAACGTATTGTTCTAGTTGAGAAACCGTTTGTAGTTTCTTATTGTTTCTCATAGACGAAAATGTCGAATGGAAATATAACAAAGAGGAGAAATAATTATTATTATCGAGTTTCGGTGGTCGCTTATTTCATTTAACGAAGCTGTTCTTCGATCATATCTTCAAAGTTATTTCCTATAGATAGATAGATATCGCGACTCGTCGCATTTCGTTCGGCGCCTTTTCTCCAAAAGCAGATAATCAATGACGACGTTTGTCCGAAGGAGACGAGGACGTCGTCGTCGTCGTCGATAAGACGCCGACCTTCATAAACGCCCTAGTAAAGGGATTCAGATACAAATGAAGAAACGTGGAATTTATCATCGAATTCCATTTCATTTTCTGATTAATGATTACGACTGAACATAATATTCTGTAATAATATATCCGTGTCTTTACCCTATACATCTATCAAAATATTAAGTTAAATTTCACGAAATATTATAACAGAATGCGAAACTTCAAAATAATAATTCGAGATCGTTATAGAGATTGATCGTATTGTCGATCGTAATCGATAATCGATGAACGCGAATGAAATAAATTAGAAAAATTTGTAATATTATTATTTGGGGAGAGTAGGGGGAAGGAGGGTAAAACGTTGCTCCAAATAACGAGAAAATTTGTCGATGAAATACAAATAAACTTATATGTAATAGGAAAAAAAAAAAACCATAGTTATGGAATAAATATCAGGAATGGATGATTACGAGAATTATTAATAACTAAAAGATAGAAAATATGAAAGTAAATAACATTGGAAAAATAGTGTGATTATATGGATATGGAATGAAACAAATAGCCAAGGAAAAAAGAATAAGAAGACTTAAGAAGAAAGAATAACAAATAAACTAATAAAAAAAAATTGTCTGGCTGAAGGACAAACCCGGAGTTGTTATTTTTTTTCTTTTTTTTTTCGTCATCTTGTCTATCTATTTTATTTGGTTTTTAACTCTTTATCTCCGCTTTCGTCATTTCGTTCAACAACCAGACGTCGGACTTGACTTTTACTTACTCGGGGTACTTGACGTTGGGAAGAGCCTTGAGGAAGCAACGTTGACGTAGAATTCCCTCCCAGAGTTGGACACCGACGATACCGAATATGAAAAATACGAAGAAGCACAAGAGTAGGACGTTGCCTAGCATGGGAAGAGTGTCGAGTAGCAGCATCACAAGAATTCGCATACCTGTTGGACACGTTCCAATTGGAAATGTTATTAACTGGTTATCACTTTTGAGAATGAGAAAGAAAGTTATATCTGTATATATAGTTATACATATATACATATATATATA